GGGCAGGTTTAGGGTTGGTTTAGGGTTGGTTTAGGCTGGGTTTAGGGTTGCCTTAAGGTTGTGTAGGGTTGGTTTCAAGGTTGGTTTAGGGATGGTTTAGGGTTGGGTTTAGGGTGGTTCTAGGTTGGCTTCGGGTAGGTTTAGGGTGGTTTTAGGGTTGGTTTGCGGGTTTATAGGGCGGGTTTAGGGTTGGTTTAGGGTTTAGGGTCGGTTGAAGGTCAGTAGGGTTGGTTTAGGGTGGGTTTAGGGTTGGACGAGGTTTGGTTAGGGTTGCTTTAGGGTTGGTTTAGGGATGGTTTAGGCTGGGCTAACCAAAATCCACCCACCCCAAACAAACCCAAAACCCTTCCTAAACCCACCCTAAACAGACCCTAAACTAAACCTAAACCCACCCTAAACCAATCCTAAACCAACCCTAAACCAACCTAAGCCAACCCCAAACCCACCCGAAACCCAACCAAAATTAACCCTAAACCAACCTTGAAACCAACCCTACACAACCTTAAGCGCCCTAAACCCAGCCTAAACCAACCCTAAACCTGCCCTAACCCTACCCTACACTTACCCTAAACCACCCTAAACCATCCCTTATCCCAACTTTAAACCAACCCTAAGCCACCTAAACCCACCCTAAACCCACCTAAACCCACACTGAACCTACCCTAAACCAACCTGAAACAAAACGTAAACTGGCACTAAACCCAGCCTAAGCCCACCCGAAAACTACACTAAACAGACCCTAAACCAAACCTACACCCACCCCAAAAACACTCCTAAACCAACCCTAAACCAACCTAAGCCAACCCTAAACCCGCCCTAAACCTGCCCGAAACCTACCCTAAATTATCCCTAAAAACCATAACCTAAACCCACCCCAAACCAAGCCTTGGTTTAGGGTAGGTTTAGGCCACCGCAAACACCCTAAACCAATCCTAAACCAACCCTAAACCAACCTAAGCCAACCCCAAACCCACCCGAAACCCAACCAAAATTAACCCTAAACCAACCTTGAAACCAACCCTACACAATCTTAAGCCAAACCTAAACCCAGCCTAAACCAACCCTAAACCAACCCTAAACCTGCCCGAACCCTACCCTACACTTACCCTAAACCGCCGTAAACTTAAACCACCGTAAACTTAGCCTAAACCATCCCTTAACCCAACCCTAAACCATTCCCAAGCCAACCCTAAGCCACCCGTAAACCCACCCTAAACCCACCCTAAAGCAAGCCAAAACTCACCCTAAACCCGCAAACCAACCCTAAACCCACCCTAAACCTAGCCGAAGCCAACCTAAAACCACCCTAAACCCAACCTAAACCTACCCTACCTAAACCTACCCTAAGCCAACCTAAAACCACCCTAAACCCAAGTGGATATTGGTTGGTTTAGGGTACGTTTAGGTTGGGTTTAGGGTGGCTTTAGTTTGTTTAGGGTAGGTTTAGGGTAGGTTTAGGGTGGGTTTAGGATTGGTTTAGGGTTGGTTTAGGGCGGGTTTAGGGTTGGCTTAAAAGTTGCGCAGGGTCGGTTTCAAGGTTGGTTTGTAGGTTGGTTTTGGGTTGGTTTTGGGTTGGTTCAGGGTGGGTGTAGTGGTTTAGGGTCGGTTTCGGGTAGGAGAGCAGGCCAGGAGACCAGCAGACCAGGAGACCAAGAGACCAGGAGACCAGGAAAGCAGGACCAGGAGACACGGGGACCAGGACACCAGGAGACCAGGGACCAGGACCAGCAGGAGACATGGGGACCAGGAGACCAGGAGACCAGGAGACCAGGAAACCAGGAAACCAGGAGACTAGGTCTCAATAATTTAATTTGTTTTTGATCCCCTAAATAATTTTTTGTTGATCCCAAAAATAATTGTTTTTTGATGCTCATCCCATTCATAACACGCCAGCGACCTGACATGAAGCCAACATGGTGGCTGTATGCCTGGTAAGACTAGCGGCATTGCCGAAATTGCCCTCGTTTTGCCACACTGGCAACGGCACTCGGTCAAAGTTGTTGATCAGAACCTTGGACACAGGGCAGAGACAGGGTCGCCAAACGGCAACTCTTTCCCCCAAGCAGTACCAGGGTCGCTTAAAACCATTTCCCCAAATGACAAGAGAGCACCAAGCCACATCGAAGGCACAGAGTCTTCCCAGGTCCTCCGGACTCCAAAAGACAAAGCGTGCCAAGTCATTGCGATGTTTGCAGCCTTGCAATCTGCGACGTTGAGACAATTAAGCAGAGGTGTCCTGCAGGAATTGGTCACCAGGGTCTTGCAAAGCAAGTTGACCTTCTACACCCATGAGGGCATGGCCATTGACGAACTCCAGGACCCCAAAGAAGTTGACACTGGATCTCAGTATGCGACCACAATCTCGAACATTCAGGTTGGGTCATATAATTGCACAATCAGCAGCCCAAAAGCGCAAAATCCGGGCACAGCACAGTTTCAGTGATTTCGAGTGTGCCAAACTACATGTGAAGAGCACGCAGGGCACGCGATCCGCAGCTCCAGCCAAGTCGGACACGCCAAGCAAGCCCTTGCCCTGCCAAGTTCCAACACAACACCAAAGGATCTTGCTAGATACCTTTGTGTCAAAACTAGGGACCCGCCCTCTGGGTTGTGTTTTTTGGTCCTCACAGCTGTACATGATGGCCATCAAAGGACATCAATAAGATTTCCAGCTGCTCGTCTGCGACGTTTGACACAAAAAAGCACTAGTCATGTCAAGCATCTTGTTGGCCTGCCAGCGCCCCTCCTCCTTGGCTCACCTTCCCCCGAATTCGCAAATTTGGATTGGTGGCTTGAGGGAGTTGAACCCCTTCTTGTTGAAACCTTGTAAGGTATCCCTGAATCTCCAAACCACCAGCTCCAAATCACGAAGCAGGGGAAGGTGACAAGGGGTGGGTGTCAACACACGAAACGTCAAACACCCCGCACCTGCGACAGGCCGAGGATGAAATACGAGGCCAGGCCAATGTCTGCGCCCTGCTCACAGCAGCGCACCGCTTGCGCCTGTGCGGCGCCCCGGGCGGAATGCTGACCCAGATTTCGGGGGGTGTTTCCCAGAAGACCCTGCTCAGGCCCTGCCGAGAGGAGACATCACCCCTGAAAAGCAACCAAGGGTTGACTATTAGTAAACGACAACTCTTTCCAGACATACTGTATTTCAGAAAAGACACCCAAACTTCCGCCTGGATCTCGTCAAACTCCTCCTCCCCACGCTTCACGATCCTGGGCACGTGCCGGCCACACCCTACCTCTATGTTTTTTTTGTGCCACAGCTACCTCTGAGATGTTTTGACCCAAAAAGAGGCGGTTCTTCACCTTCTCTTCACACGGGTTGTTTTACCCATCTGAACCGGTTCAGCCGCCTGGCGCGGGCCACGTTGACCAGCGTCTCTGCGAGAACCTGTGCCAGCATCTCGCTGGCGGCCGTCTTGCTCTGCTGCTTCAGCACCACACAACTCGTCCCCTGAGCCATACGGTAACCGCACGGAATTCCACGTGAGACGCTCTTTGGCAAGGTGAAGGTTACTCTCCCGAAGTTGTGAACTGTCATAACCATTCGGACCTGCGCGTGACGCCTCCCAAAACTCAAAGGGCCTCTGCCACCCTTTGTGTTTTAGGGGATCTTCCAAAGTAATTTGCCAGACCTCACCGACCCTCTTCAGCCAAAGGGCAAGGTCCACCAGTAACACGCCGCCACAGCCGCCGTCCAAGAAGTGGAGGTCCCGCATCTGCAACCTCTGCAAAAGACTCCGCCGAAAGGGAGAACTGTCCCCGTGTTTCTGGCCGTGCGTGTTGTAAGCACCTTGTTCCCCATGGTGCATGCCTGACCTTCCACGCAGCTTGCGCATCTGCCGCATGTTCTTTGTGAATCCGCCCACAATGTGTGTTCAAAAGATCCGTTCCACCCAAAAAGTCAAAGAACAAACAAGTGCCTCTAGCCTCTTGTCGATTTGGAGGGCTACGGGGGCACGCGTCCTGAGCATGTGCAGGATCTTGCCAGCCTGCAATTGTGGTACTCAAACTGCCCGGTACTCTTGTGAAGAGTCCAAAACAACAAAACCTCCAAACTGTGCAAGTAACCAACAACTGACACTGGACTCAAGGGACATGCCCGCAAACTGTGCTTTGCTGTTCTCCTCGTTGCTGGAACATCCAGGCGCTTCGGGAGTTGCACAGAGGAACATGTCTGCAGTGTCTGGCGTGTCCCGCACCAGACGCACGTCCCACAAGGAACTCAAGGGGCCTAGGGCCCCGGGCCACTGCACCGCCCCGAGCTCCGCAGGCGGCAAGCTGCGGAAATGCTCCAGGCGCCGGCGCTGCACAAGCAGCCGCGCCTCACGTCAGCCGATGGCTTCGGCGTTCACCGGGGTTCCCTTGGCACCCCAAAAAGGCGTCAGCGCGAAAAAGCTCGCCCATGACGGCCGATGGGGATGAAGTGAGTTTGCATGCCCTTGCAGTGTGTCAAGGATTGGAGCCACAAGGCGCGGCTCAGTCTGAGGTGGCATTAAAAAAACGAGGTGGCTGATATGAGTCACGGTCCTGAGTGAATCCTGATCTGCATTGATGCATGAATTTGGCCGTCCCCTATTGTGCTAGCCATTCATCTACTAGGGTCACTTTGAGCAGACAGCTTCCGTTTGGAAAGAAGGAATTGACGAATCTCATACGAGTTCACTCGAGGAGAACAATGCCAGCAAGTGTTCAGAACCCTAGCTATTGTGGACTAATTGCGTTTAAATGTCAATGCCAGTTTGAGAAGGAACCATTGTCGTACTAAAAGTCATTGAGGTGCCACGGAAGTTTGCAGACGGCTCACCGCGCAATGGTTGCGGCGGCTGTGCCAATGTGCCCGTCTTTGCACCGTTCCGAGCATGGCCCAAGCCCGCTCCGAGCATGCTTCCGTCCGGCGTGGCTGAGGTAGTTTGCAGAATGGCCGCATTCCGCACAGGGCCACGCTTTTCAATTGCGGCCATTCCCCAGTACGCGCAATACTATATATTCATGCTGGCCGCTCCTGTGGGCGTGCTCACGGCGGCGGTGGTCGCCAAGCAGGTGGTCGAGGATTTGCCGGAGGCCGTGAAGCCCGAGCTGGTGTCTGAGTCCTCGGAGGAAATTGAGGACACCGACTCTGACAGCAAACCCCCCGCCTTCATTCGGGTGGACGACGGGCTTTGGCGGATCCCCCACAAGGACCTGGGGTTTGAGCTGCCGCCCTTCGCGGACCGTACCAAGCAGCAGCTGCGACGCCAGATCCCCCGAGGACAGGTCCGCCGCCTGCTGGCGGGCTTCAAGCCTGCCACCTTGACTGCTGGTGGACTGGAACGTGTGGTGGAGGCGTACTACCTGGCCAGGAAGAAGCACGAGCACCTGGCCATGCTGCGGCAGCCGGCCCAGAAGCCGGGGGGCAGGGCCGGGCTTGGCTCCAGCACCCTCAAGGCTCGGCCGGCGGGGGCGGACCCCGACACAGCTAGTGGAGATTTGCGTAAACCCTCTGCAGACTTTCATGGGATCGACACTAAAAAGTATCTTTATTTTGCTCGCTTTACTTTTTGGTGTTGCGTTGTTCACTTTCATAGACGTGGAAAGAGAGAAAGAGAAAGAGAGAAAGAGAGAAAGAGAGAAAGAGAGAAAGAGAGAAAGAGAGAAAGAGAGAAAGAGAGAAAGAGAGAAAGAGAGAAAGAGAGAAAGAGAGCAAGAGAAAGAGAGAAAGAGAGAAAGAGAGAAAGAGAGAAAGAGAGAAGAGAACGAGAGAAAGAGAGAAAAAAAGAAAGAGACAAAGAGACAAAGAAGGAAAAGGATAAAGAAGGGGAAGGAAGGGGAAGGGTGATCCACACTATAGTTCTCATATGTTGGAAACTTCCGCCGCCTCACCCCCCCGGATTCGCCTTACGGATGCCCGAAGAAGAGGCTTCCTGGTGGATGTTGGTGGCAAATCCCAAAAGGGTGCCTCTACGAGTGCCGGTCTAAACATCGGGTATCGAACTTCGGCCGCCTAAGGATCTTCCCCAGCAAAACAAGCAACGTACAATCTGCATTCCGCCACGGCTCCGAAGAGTTGAAGGCTTGGCGCAACCAAGAACAAGTTCGCCATAGGTTGACCTCTTGGCTAGTCAAACGCGAACCAAGCGAGCTCGCATTTGAAAGCCACCCCTAGATCTGCTTGCCGTCCACCTGAGAGAAACCCAGCGCACCTCCTCTTTGGCCCGGAGCTCTTCCTGCTTCGCCTGCCTCGCCTCCTGCAAGCTGCACAAGGTGTCGGGGCCCTGATGAAGTGGGTGCGTACATGATCAAATTGGTCGACGTGCCGAGCAAAAGAGATGTTCTGATTCCGACACAGCACTCTGAGAAGCCGATGTGGTCATGGGTCAAAACCCCGTGCCGCCAGTGAACATCCCAATCCCCACCAAAATAGGTTCTAAAATGGGTGGTGCACCTACCCACCAAAATGGTACCATTGATTTTGACCCACAGCCATGTGCACTCCTCAACCTTCTGATGATCCTCCGGGCTGTGCTTCTGCTGCCGGCCAATAACCATCCTGCCAGTCACATTCTGAGCACGAAATATGCGACCAATGCCTCAGCTTGGCCGCACGGCCCCACGAAAGGGATTCCCCATTTAAACGGCACGGTTTCAAAGGGTTCCCTACGCCTTCGGATTGGTTTACGGCAATTCTGAGCACATATCACTCCAAAGCAAGAAGCCATGCCCATCTCCGTGCGTGTGTTGCATTTTGGGACAGAGAACCGGCTTAAAGGGGATTTGGGGGGGGGGGTTCCCCCGACTTGGCCGCATCTTCTCCATCTTGCGGATTCCTCTTCCCCCAGGCGCTCCCGCCTGAAGCGCTGGGCCGTCTCCTCCAGCGCCTTCTGCCGCGCGGCGTCTCGCCCGGCCTGGCGCTCGAGCCAGGCCTCCGCACGGCTGGCCCAGTCTGCACCGACGCCTCGGGCATGGCTTGGTGTCGCCATCAATTGGCCCCAAAGTGGATCAACCACACACGCTCAGCTGCAAGCTCTAAGCACACAAAGATGTAAGGCGACGGGTCCAAAACCGGTGCCCAGAACTGGCGGCCGGGAATCAAGTGGGCCAAGAGGGCAAGGTCAACAGAATGACAGAGATGCGTGCTGCCAAAACGAACCTGGCCTACTATTTGGCTCTTCCCAAATAGGGGACGGGACGCATTAAAACAAGCATTTGGGTGCTTCCTGGTTATGACAAGATCCCCACGCAAAAACAGGTGCTCGCAATGCTAGTCCTTTCATTTTGAACCACCAGTGTATGCAAGCTAACCAAACGGCACCACACACGAGCACGCGATAACTCTTTCATCCGAGCAGTGTGTTGGTGCCAGGGACTCATCTTCCCCTGTCAGATGACCAAAGCTGGGTGGGCCTCATGGGCCACCCAACTCACAATTCTCAAAAACTGAAGAACGGGTGTGCAGACTGATAGCGCCCGCCCCTGAGCCGGGGCCCGTGGCACCCAGGCCACAGGGGGGTCTGCCACCAGGGGAAGTGAGTCACCCACCGGCTCCGGTCACGGGAGCATGGGTGGGCCCACGCTCTCCATTCAGGAGACGCGGGAGAAAAACAAACTCCTCACAGAGTTCCTGCTTGGGGACCCTTTGCAAAGGGTCGAACCCAGAGAAATCCGGGTGCGTCAGCTCATCAGCCCATTGATTGAATTCACGGGGCACATGGTTGGCCGCCAGCGAGCAGCCATGGGTGTGGAGCAGGAAGTCCAGCTCCATCAGGATCGCCGCCGTGTAGGGCTTCTTGGATCCAAGGTTGAGCATCGCCATGACGTTGCCCTGATTGTCACTGCCCACCGGGAGTCGGACCCGGGAGGACAGAGGGCCTTGGTGCGTGAGGATCATGTTACAGAGGAAGAGCGTGCCCAGCATTTCCAGAGCCGCAATCCTCCGCTTTGGATCCCCATTCTTGAAAGCCCAAGGGTACTCCTCCACGTGGATCTGCTCATGGAACCAGTACACCTCCTTCTTGTCCGGTTCCACCGTGTTGGAGCACCAACCTCCCACGAACGCCAGTCCGTCGTCCGAGGCGCTAGCGTCGCTGCAACCCCACCAAGAGGACTTCGGCAAGTAGGGGGAGTACTGGACAAAAGGGGTGTTGAAGAGGAACCTCAGCATGAACGCCAGCATCCTGACCACCTTAGGGGGTTTTCCCACCCTTGTGGTGGCCATCTTCCAGGCCCAAAGTGGCTGGAGCATCGACTTCGCCAGCGGACATGCTGCCGTTGCCCATTGGATGCGGCCCAGGGCCTTCTCGATGTCCTTTGAGTGCATCGCCTGCCCTTCCACCATGGTCTGCAACACCTCCATAACCAGGATGTGTTTGTTGGCCGCCATGAGAACCTGCGGGATGTTCGGGTGGACCACGAAGCCCAGCCACGTGTTGACCTCCGCCAAGTGCGTCTTCTTCCAGCTAAGTGGGGTGCCCAATGCCAGGAGTGTGGCCAGCAGCGCCACCGCCAAGTTCACTGCCCCCTCGCTTCGAAGCAGCCACAGGAAGTCGTCGACGAAGACGAAGTTCCAATCCACGTGAGGGAAAAGTGCGTAGAGGACCCTGAGCAGAAGGGCTGCCAGGGGTCCCCAGTAGGATTGGGCACTGGCCATGCCATATGTGCCTACCTTGTTCACCCACCATTCTTCCCCCAGTGAGGCCACCTGGAACCGCCAGTCCTTCCTGAGGACCTTCACTCTCCGGTGGGCCTTGGTGACGTCCGCCTTGAGCACCCACCTCGTCCCCGGCTCCGGCCATAGCCAGCCCCCAAGGGGAGGTTTGACGATCCCCCCCTCGGGGCCAGAGGCACCCTGAGAGGGGGGTCCCACCTCAGCTGCAGCATGTAGCCAATGGAGAGCTTGGACCCCATCCAGCACCGTCGGAGCCGTCGTCCTTTCCACCGTCTGGTTCCTGATGGTGTCATTGGCCTCTCCCACCGAGCCATCGTAGATCGTGCGGATCTTGTTTTTCTCGTCGATGCCCGCCAGGGGGCCGGGACAAAGGTCCTCGCTTCCGCAGCCACATCGCGATGCTGCCTCTTCCTTACTGAAGGGGCCCTCCACCATGCCCATGGGAACCTCCTCCAGAAATGTGCCCCGGATGAGCTCGCTGAAGTGATCCGCCGAGGGCCTGCCCGTTGGGTGGGGGAGTTCCTGGAACTCTGGCTCGGTGGCCAGATGCCCGGTGAGGTCAGGGTCCGTGACCCCCAGTGGAACCCCTTGCTCCAGGTCCCGTGGAAACTGGTGGTCGGGGTCCTGAATGTTCAGAGCCACGCTGTACAAGATGTCCAGGAAGAAGGGTTGGCCGTCCGCTGGTCGGCCTGCCCCCGGCGCCAGAATCTCCCTGATGTCCTCCAGCAGGTCCTCCGGGAAGGGATGTGACCCATCCCCCAACGAGAGCGACTCCTGGAGCTTGTCCCCCCACGGCGAAGTGAGGACACAGATTTTGGCCCCCAGCGCTGCTGCTTTGGACAGCGGCCGGGCCCACGGGGCCAACCGTCCCAAGGAGGGCTTTCCTCCACCGTCTCTTAAGGGACGCTGCTTGAACGCCATCTGGAGGTACATGACCTTGTCGGAGATATTGGGGTCGTGGGTGATCGGCAGGATGGTAGGCCGATCCGAAATTTCCATGCCCTGGTGTGGCAATGGGTCCAGGGAAGAGTTCCCCCCCCAAGTTCCTCCACCTCGCCAGTCCTCTGTGTCGATGTCCCAGCCTCTGGAGTGTCCGAGGCCGAGACCGGAAGTGATCCCAAAGTCAGACCTGCCAACGCTTGTTGGCCCGCCTTCAGCCTCCGGGACTGGCGCTTGTTGTCCCCCGGCGTGCTGGGAGAAGGTTCCCTTGGACGCCTCGGGGGGGTCGTGGGGTTAGCCTGGGGCGCCATGCCACCCGGCCTCAGCGCCTCCAGGACGGGTCCCGCTCGGCAAAGGATGGCCGCTGCTAGACCCTGCATCATCTGTTCCGGGCACCGGCTGAGGTCACTGGAGTTGAGCTTTTCTCCCCTGGGGTGCGACCCGTGGTTGCAACGCAGGTCATGCCAATGGTGGAGAGGAAGGTCCGTTGACAATGCCGTGGACTTCACAACCACCTGGCCCAGGCGGCACTCATCGAACTTGATGAGGGAGTGGTGGAGTGCACTCGCCCATTGAATGTAGGCCCGCGTGACCCAGATCGATGAGCACCTAGCTGCGCTCGGGCTCTTGCTGCACTCCATCGGGTCCATCGGATGCTCCAGGAAAGAGGAGCCAACCTGCGGGACCGTCAGCTGACCTAACCCCTTGTAGGCCAGCGAGGTCAGGTACATCTGACGGAGCATAAGCACGCTGTCATTGTCCGTGTCCTCCATAACCCGGGGCTCCAAGTCCTCCAAGCTTTACAAGGTCTGCTCCGCTCTGCCCCTCACCGGCGGCGGGCCACCCGGTTTGGGGAACCACCTGAGGATGCTCCACGTCCTGCAGTTGGGGCCCCCTCCCACCAATGCGACCTTGCCGGAGTAGGGCTCCTTGCCCAGCATGTCATGGCCCAGGTCTCCGCCCTTTCTCCTGATATCCACCGCCCAAATGTACTCCGAGAAGGCCGGGTTGTAGGCATGGAGGTAGGCATCCAGGGCCCGCATCATCCTTCCCAGCGTACAGCAGGATGAGGGACGGCTTTGAAGATCCCGGCACTGGCCTCGGCGTCCACCCCAGTCTGAGCCTCAGTCTTTCCGGGATGTGCTGCATCCATGGGAAGGTGGGGTTTGCCCCCCCTAGGGATTCCGTGTGACCTTTGTCTGATCCCCCCGTCATCTGTCCCCGGGCTTGATGCTTGCCCTGGCGGTTCTTCCCGCTCTTGGAGTGCCCCTTGCTGGGCGGATCCTCACCTCTGGGTCTCTCTGGGGGGTCTTCCCACTGCCTCGGTGGGTGCGGGGGAAAGGGATGCTTCCGCCCTTCTGGAGTGCCCGGTGGAGGGGCTTCCGGGGCCGGTGGCACCCTGGAGAAGCCCCCCGTCTGAGGCCGTCCTGGCCTCCCCCGCTCTGTCTGCCTTGCTCTGGTGGGGCTGGCTCTCCCCCTCTGTGCGCACTCTCGCACTGGTGGCCTGTGATCCCAACTGAGACTGGGAAGCCACGAAGCCTATGGCACCCTGAGTGGCCTCCTGTCACTTGGGAAGGTGAGGGCATGCCTGTGGCGCATGCTTCGATGGGGGGGCATCACACACCCACCCATCCTTCCTGACCGGGCAGTTGTGGGAACGGCCGCACGATCCCGAGCACTTGTTGTGGAGGTGATGATCTCTGCAGTACGCCACCCCTTTGGGATTCTTGAAAGCCCAGTGGTCCGGCCATGGAACTGAGGGGGGAGTTGGGGGACTTCCCCTTGCCGCCCTTGCCCTTCGGCTTGGACCGGGTCGGCCCCGAGGGCCAGGCGCCTTTACCCCCCTTCTTCGGCTTCTCCCACTGAGTCTGCCACACCTTAGGTGCCTTGCCCTTGTTCTTCCCCTTCTCAGGCGCCCTATTGAGGCTCATAGACCTCTCGTTGCCAGAAGAGGAAGTCGCCCCTGATGTTCTTGAGGGCATCGGAGAGGGTGGTGCCCTGGTGCACCAACTCGTGGATCTTCCTCCACGCATTGCGCTCTGCATACAGCAAGGTGGTGTCACTCGGGGGAGGCCTTCTACCAGCGATGTCCTCCCCATAGAACCAATCATACCAATCGTCCAGCTCCGCCTTGGTGACCTTCAGGTTGCCAAACTGTGGCAGCGCCGCCGTGCACATCAGGAGCGTCGTCCTGAAAGTTTGGTGCAAACGCTCCAGCTGGCGCCGAGATGTGGGGTGGCTCCTCACCTCCTCTTCATCCTCCCTGTCCCAGCCGTCCACCGTGATCTTCTTATGGGTGGATGAAGGGCGTTCCCCCTCTTCCGGGAGCGCGCTCACGATGTGTTTTGCCG